AATAATAATAATAATTAACGGTTTATTGAAAAAGTTCTGCAGCCCGAAGGCTGAAAATATACATTGGACATAAATGACTTATTACATACATTGGAGGTTTAACAAAAGCCTTCATTAGAGATAGGTAAAGGAACATACAGTGAACATCATATTAATGTAGGTGTTGAACAGCAAACACGTAGTGTAGTAACTCTCTCCCAGATGGTGTAAGGAGGGACCTGATGTGGTGTAGTAATTCCCTCACAGATGGTGTTATGAGGGGCCTCACGCGTAGTAATTCCCTCACAGATGGTGTTATGAGGGGCCTCACGTGGTGTAGTAATTCCCTCATAGATGGTGTTACAAGGGGCCTCACGTGGTGTAGTATCTCCCTCACAGATGGTGTTATGAGGGGCATCACGTGGTGTACGAATTCCTTCACAGATGGTGTTATGAGGGACCTGACGTGGTGTAGTAATTCCCTCACAGATGGTGTTAAGAGGGGCCTGACGTGGTGTAGTAATTCCCTCACAGATGGTGTTATGAGGGACCTCATGTGGTGTAGTAATTCCTTCACAGATGGTGTTATGAGGGACTTGACGTGGTGTAGTAACTCCCTCACAGATGGTGTTATATGACTGAGGTGTGGTCCCAGGCCTTCCTATCGTAGACGGATTAACACATCGCTGGTTGTTGGGTCTCACAGGCCGTTATCACTGGGTACCTGGGACCTCACTGTGTGAAGGTTAACTTGAGTACAACTGTTACTGTTGAGTTGTTCTCACTGACTTAAGCACTGTTCACCAATGTTCACCTCTGTTTAACACTGGTTCCATTCCTTTCCTAAATGAAATTGTAACTTCTGGCGAGAACTTGTTGATATTCCGGTGGGGAGAAGTGGTTCAGGGGAGGGGGTTGGTATGGGCCAACTTAACAGTTGACCTGGCTGCTCTGAGAGGAGTGCCAGGTACGTCTTGACCCTTCGGTGGTCAAGGAAGTGTGTGTGTGTCTGTGTCCATAAGTCTTCCCCAGTCAGTACACAGCCTCCTCACCATCAAGATTCCTGCTGTAACTCCTCGTGGCAACACGCGGTAACTGGGTACCCCTTGGGCCCAGGCTAGGCCAGCAGGGAATCTCCGAGTAGCAATGGGCCCAGAGGGACGGCGCATAGGCCCACTGGCATGTGGACACGTTCTGGCACCTACCAACCATTGCCCTGCTGCCTTGCGGATTAACCTTGGTAGGTATAAGGCTACGGGAATAAACCAAGAACGAAAAATCTGCGGTGGAGCCCCGCATCAGGCAGACATGCTTAGAGCTCCAACAACACCCCAATGGCGGTATAGGCGGAAGAGGTGACCACCATGGGAACCCAACGACTCCACATGCAGAAGAATGCAATGCCTGATGGACAGGCTACTAAGGCCAAACCCAACAAACTGGGCTATCAACAGTCCATTGCAACTCTCCCTCTCCCCAGTCGTTGCAACACTTGCACCACTGGATCAGGAAAAGGGAGAGCCAAAATGTGTGGTTGCAGCCTGAACTTCTGCCTCACCATATAAATCAACTCACGTGCAGCTATCATCCAGATCAACATACCTCTCATCATCATCAAAACTCCTAACCCTCAAAAGTCCTATGGCGATGGACGAGTGGCGATGGGGACAGGCAGAGATGACTGCAGGGAGTCTCTAGTCACAACTCTGCACATAGGCGGCATAGATAAGATGGTCGTTTATGCACTGGGATCTAGGCAGCAGTACAATCCGGTCCTGTCTGTGTGACTGAGCAGCCCTTTCAAGGAGCCACTCTGCTCACCCTAGATGGGGAGGGGGATAGAAAAGGTGCCCTAAACATAGCCTGCCTAAAAACCCACCCTGACTGGACAACCACACCCAGTAAGGTCATCCTTATGCTGTCAAAAACACAGTCAAAATCACAGATCCAAACAAAAACAAACTATACAATCTCTTATGTTCGCTGCATGGAATATCAGGACCCTTCTGGATACTGGCACAAATGAGCATCCTGAAAGAAGAACTGCCCTTGTGGCAAAAAGAGTACAACATCAAAATAGCAGCCTTTAGCGAGTCCCGGCTCCCAGACGAGGGTCGACTCACAGAACAGGGATCTGGCTATACCTTCTTCTGGAAGGATAAGCCTGCTGCGGAGAGAAACCGCATTTATGGATTAACTGAAATTCCTGTTGGGATCAACAAGCGCCCCATGACGCTTCGAGTCCCACTGAATCACTCACGACATGCCTTCTTCATCAGTGCATACAGCCCAACACTGGATGCAGAAGATGACATCAAGGAGGCCTTTTACGCCGACCTCGACAGAGTGATAACCTCTATCCCCAGAGAAGACAAGGTTGTGCTCCTTGGTGACTTCAATGCCAGAGTTGGCAGAGATGCTAACATTTGGCAGGGAACCATAGGGAGAAATAGACTAGGCAAGTGTAATCCCAATGACCTACTCTTCCTCAGCAAGTGTGCTGCTCACAACCTCACTATCACCAATATCTTGTTTAGGCAGGCCGACAAGTTCAAGGGCTCGTGGCAACACCCACGATCCAAACACTGGCATCTCATTGACCATATCATTGTCAGAGAAAGAGATCGCTGAGATGTCCTCAACACACATGCCATGCGTGGTTCAGACCACTGTGACACTGATCATCGACTTGCCAGAGCCAAGCTCTCGCTTCATGTCGCCCCAAAACGGCGAAGGCAGCAAACCTCCAGGTAGAGATTTTAATACTGACGCCCGTATTATTAAACAACATCTTCCCTTGAAGAGGGTCGTTGTGTTTCAACCCGAGTTTTAAACTAAATGAATCCTGAGGGACACCGCAGTACTATGCTTTACGGGGTGGTGTGGCGGTAAAATTAACTAATTCCAATAAAATTAATTTATAATATTGGAATTAGTTAACTTTATTGCCACACCACCCCGCTAAGTACTGTACTGCATTGTCCCTTAGGACTCATTTAGTTTAAAACTCGGGTTGAAACACGACCCTCTTCAAGGGAAAATGTTGCTTAATAATACGGGCGTAAGCGTCTGGAGGACCCAGCGATAGCACATGCTTTCAGAGAGCAGCTCGAACATAGGCTGATAAACAACCCAACAGCAAACAATGCAAATCCCAGTAGCGAATGGGATATTTTCAAAACTGTCTTGACAAAAGCCTGCAGAGACCCCCTCGGCCAGATCGAAAGAGTACACCAGGAGTGGTTTGATGAAAATGACCCAGCAATCAATGTACTCGTCGATGATAAACGTGTTGCTTTTACTGACCTGCAGAACAGCACCCACTCTCGGACCAAAGCTGATACCTTCCGCAAGAAGAAAGCGGTGGCCCAGAGAGACTTCGCACTCTAAAGAACGATTGGCTTAAAAATCAAGCAAGTCAAACACAAAAACTTGCAGATCAGCACAAGATGTGCAAATTTCTCATTTTCCACTAAAACATTTTATGGGCCAATCACTCGTGGCGCAGCCGGCCTCCGCTCAGCGCTCATATGACGGTAACCTCATAATTAAAGACAATGAAGGCCTCCATCAGTGCTGGAAAAAGCACTACCATTCATTGCTCAACCGAAACAACCGATGTGGATGTCCTGACTACCCAGCAGGTCCCTCAGCATCCAGAGCTGACACACCTCAGCTATCCTCCATCCCTGGATGAGGTAGCTACTGCCATCAAACAGATGAAAAATAACAAAGCCTCAAGGCCTAATGGAATCCCAGCTGGGGTGTATAAAGCAGGAGGAACCTCTACTTACCACGCATCACCTGCTCTTGTCTAGCAGCGCTATGCTCTCGGGGCTCGGCGAGCTGCCCTCACTTGCGGAACGTCACAGCGTCCCCAAGCGACGCCGAGCCAGTCTTTGTTACGAATTCATATCATTCGTGTGTGTGCTTTTGCTCTATAAGTGTACGCTAACCATAAGAGATGTCTTCCAAGCGCCCATCATGTGATACTGATGCTAGTGTAATGAAGAGGCAACGTAAGACCATTACCCTGTCTATGAAAATGGATGTATTTGCCCGTTTTGAAAAAGGGGAAAGTGCTGTGGACATAGCCGCTGTGCTTGGTCTAACCCCCACAACGCTGCGTACTATCCGGACCAATGCTGACAAGATTAAGGTTAGTGCTGGAAGTGGTTCTTCTCTGAGCGCAACTAAGACAACTTGTACTAGAAGCACTGTGATAGAAAAAGTGGAAAAGATGCTGGCAATGTGGATGGAGGACCAGAATCAATGCAATGCCCCTGTGAGCCTTATGGTTATCCAGCATAAGGCCAGATCATTGTTTGACGATTTAAAGGCAGAAGAGGGTGAAGGATCGAAGGAAGATACCTTTATGGCCAGCCGAGGCTGGTTTCAACAATTTAAGCATCGTTATAACTTCCACAATATTAAGATGACTGGTGAAGCTGCCAGTTCAGATACGGTTGCTGCCGAGACATTCCTGCCAGAATTCAAACGGATTATCCAGGAAGGAGGCTACTCATCAAAGCAAGTCTTCAATGTGGATGAGACTGGTCTCCTTTGGAAGAGGATGCCTGAGAGGACCTTTATCTCCGAGGAGGAGAAAAGAGCGCCAAGAATCCTGTGTTCATGGGTTGCACATGAAAAAGTACAGTTTAATCTACCAGGAACCACATAAAACTGAATTTCCCACATTTGGTCAGCCCGCCCTTGCTACTCGCAACGTCTCAATTGATAAGAAAAGAAAATGTAGCCCTTCCAATAGATGGCCGGAGATGTTTTTGGATGAAACGTGGGAGAACCACACTAACACAAGCACACAAAGAAACATTCACATCCACTAACCTTGTAAAAAGGGTTTGTAAATATGCTGTAATGATTTGTACCCGAATTATTTGTTACTAAATCCTGAATGTACTATTATTACAATGTATATTAAACATATCACTGTAAATGACAGAAACCCCAAGTAATTAAGACATAGCAATAAAGAATACTGTGATGAAGGAATGACTTACTTGTAACTCAGATGGTTAGTGATTATGGATGGAAGGTCCCAATTTTCACGCATCACTCCTCGACTTGACTGTCTTGCCAGATCCAGAAATATGTCAAACAGTGATTCCAAATCTTCTGGTCCAGCAGTGTGCTCAGGATGAAACTGTACACTAAGAGTGACATTAAAATCATTCAACTATATACTAAATTAATTCAACAATAGTCTTGAAGCATCCATATATTGTCATAATTAATTTTGCATTAAGCAAAATACAGTAAATAGATCTACAGTGGCAGGGCTCGAGTTGTAAAATGTTAACAAGTAGAATGCTCAGGTGTAAATCATATATGATTCACATTGTAAACAGCAGTCCCATGACAAAAATAGCATATACAGTATTTAAATGCAGGAGTATTGTGACTTCCCACAAGGCCACTTTTTTTTTTTTCATTATTAATTTTTTTTTATTATGGGAAGTTGTATCATACAACCTGTGCACCCAAGTCAAGGCCCGGGCAGCCTATGACTGTCACTGCCAAGTTATCGTACAGCTTAAAACAATTGTTTCTATATTTTCTATTGCTTTATCTATATCCAAATTTTTCTTATGCCGTTGTAGGTCTTTGGATTTTTTTTTAAATGACTTTAATGCAGTGTCAATATTTCCAAGGGTAGTTTGAGATTTGAGATGGTACATTATTGTACAATAACACTATCCAAAGCCAATACAGTACCTGGTTCAAGTGTTGAATCCTTCTATTTTTTATTTGCACAGTTCAGTATTTCTATTTATTTCATCACTATTACTAGAGCCTCTTACACCCCCCAGCCTTGTGATGAGAGCCACTGCAATACATTATCAATGAACATATTTAAGTAGACTATGCACTAATTTATCTAATTGTATAAAAACTTGGAAATTGGAAAAGTAATCTCAACCGGAAGTGTTCCCTTGAATATTTTATCAACATTAATGATTTAACCAAACAAATTCCACCTCACCTCGAGCCCTGTTCATAGGAGGGGTTAGTATACCTACTTCCTCTTATTTAATTGGAAGTAAAGTAAGGATACAGTAACAGACAATCATATACATTTGAGAACCAGGAACCCAAAATGTTTGGAAACACTAAGTCTTTAGAAAGTACTGTACATAAGTTTGGAAATTTAACACATCTATTCCAGGAGCCTATTACACTTGGGAATTTAATAAAATTCATCAATATAAATTTTTCACAAAGTGAGGCCACTGATTAGTCACTAGTGTGCAATGGCAATATATTAATAACACAAAGAAACACCTATTTATTAATGTTATGAAAAAAAATTACATCAAGTTTTTTATTAATTTGCCATAGACCATTGAAAGCTCCATGGTATGTTGTGCTTCCATCATCTGCCCAAGTAAGGAGTGGAACTGCCAGCTGCACAATGTTTTGAACCTCATTTTATTGCTGGTTTTGTCATTTTACTAGTTCACCTTCACTAAAATCATTTTCTGTACACCCCCACCGACTCTACCTCCCACCCAGGAGGAGATAGCATCATGTAAACAATGTCATCAGAGTAGTTATCAAGGACAAAATCCAGCTTAAAAATCATGTACTGTACACTATACACTATTACTGACACGTTCCTTGAACAAAGAGCTCAGTTTGAAGCCCTACTCAAAGTACATCAACCTGATATAGTAGGTATGGTAGAACTGTTGTATAAGAACAAGAGAAGCGATCTGGAGGAATCAGAGTTCAATATACTGTAATTGGATATGACTCATTTACAAACCTTTCTCAATCAATTTGCAAGAGGGGTGTGGTTATCTATGCTAGGCAAGACTTTACAGCCAGCCAGTTGAGAGTACAGGGGCACGATGTTTTTGAAGAATCAAAGTGGTGTAAAATTAAACTAAAGAGTATGTATCTACAGATCTCCAAACTGTAGCTTATAAGCTACTTTCAGGAATATTAACTAATTCCTTAGTTAACCTCCCTATCACAATTTCACTATGATTATAATCATAGTGGCTATAATCATAGGCAGTGGCTAGGTTTGAGCACCGTTGCATTGTCAATTAAGGCTCTTAAGTTCCTTTGGTTTAATAATTATTCAACCAAAGGAACTTAAGAGCCTTAATTGACAATGCAACAGTGCTCAAACCTAGCCACTGCCATGTCATGAGGTACTTTAACTATGGCAGCATCGACTGGAGAAATGAAACTATGTCAAATGACCTTAATAATCCCACTACCTACTCTTTTTGTAGAAACTCCGAGACAATTTTCTATTCCAATATGTTAAAGATCAGACTCACTACAGAAGGGAGCAAACACCCTAACCGCTGGACCTCATCATAACTAACGAGGAGGGTATAGTGGCCAAACTGGAAAACCTAACCCAGTTGGCACCAGTCACCACTTAAAGTTGTCTTTCAGATTTAACTGTTACCTGTACTTGGTTCATGACAAAATGAGGCCAAGGTTCAAATATTACAAGTATAATTACGAGATGAGGGGTATTCACTGGCTGACTCACTATGATATAAGAATGCACACACTACACTGAATATCATACCCAGTAAAGTAAACCATTTGATCAATAAATACAGTACAGTATAGTCTCGGTTTACGCGGATTTTTTATACGCGGTTGGTCATTTATGCGGCACCTGTCCAGACGCGCCAATTATTAGTTATGCAGTACATTCCTGAATTTACGTGGGAAGCAGAGCGGACAAGCTGCGCGCTAGGTCGCTCTTACGTTACTGCTGACATCAGATGACGTTTCGGACTGTGATTGGGCCACGCATCCCCTATGCCGCGAGCTGTGATTGGTCTAATTTAACTTGGAGTGCCCTGCCACCAAAGGGAATACGTCGCTGACCTTAGAAGCGTCAGACCCATTGTCCTCCGTCTCCACGTATACAGTGCTCCCTCATGCCCACTAATCTGCTCAATAATTGCTTCCGCTGGACCCGCACCACCCCCGAGAAACCTTGAATTACCTGGCCCAAGCCTAAGAAGGTACGACGCGCCTTAAGCTATGAAGTGAAGTAAAAAATCGTCCAGGAGTTAGAGAAAGGCACAAGACAGGTGGATCTCGCCCAACAATATGGAGTTAATGAATCGACGATCAGCACCATCAAGAAGGATGCCGGCAAAATCAAAGAACACATGAGCATCACAAAGTCTGCAGGTGTGTCGATGGTGAAATACAGTCGGCCCTTAACATACGCGGGGGTTACGTAACAGAGATACCCGTGGATGTTAAAAATCCGCGTATATGCCCCAAAAAACCCTGGCCCCATGTCCTTATTTACCGTATATACCTGTGTGTAGTTAGAGCTTTTTAAGACCAAATTATTTGGCAAAAATTGAAGTCGACTATCTAAGAATAGTTTTGTTAGGTTGAAAAATATTTACCAGTAACTACGAGTAAACAATGGAAGCGATACTTAGCGCACCACCAGCTGTATGAGTGTCGGTACAATGATTGCCAGGGCAGATCTCTTGCGTCATCATAGCAAGCCCAAAGTAGCCAAATCCATGGTATGGTAGCACAGGACGATGTAAAACATAAAGTATTCATTTATTAAAGTGTATTTATAGATACTGTACACAAATTTTTTTTCATTACATTTGAAACATCAATCTTTGTTAATTAAATTTGAAGCAAAAAACTACGATACCGTATTTTCAATTAAATAATACATCACAAGTATATTTTACATATGTGACTGGTGAATATACGTATTCTCAGAAATAAATATATGGAAATATAATATTTTTGCTGGAATGGCGTGCATATTACAGTGGAAAGAGGATAAATAATGAAAACAATTACTTTAAAACTTTCTTTAGTTGTTCAAAAAGATTTTACTGTAATCGCTTTTCGAATGGTTTTCAGTTAAGCTTATTTTACTACGTACTGTATTATTACAGTGACCTAGATTTAACTAACACCTCGGTTAACGTAATTTCGATTAATGAACTGCCTTCCATAAGGATCTTCAATTTGGATTACTTGAAAAAAATTCCGGATATAAAGTTTCCTTGCACTGACCGAACCTTAGCTTTAGTATCAGTCCATGTACATTGTCGGTTTAGGGCTTCGCAATTCCTTATTTTAGTAAATATCAAAAGTTTATACTATTCAATAATTTTAAAGTTTAATATTCAATTTTTAGTCATTTTGTAATTATTGAACATAATTGAAAGAGTAAAATTGACTAGTTTTGTCTTGACATCCAGCCTCTTAACACAGCAAACAGGCGTTAATCTCTGTTTTCACTGGAGGTATTTTATCTTGCTTGAGACTCTCTTCAACGAAATACTTTTTTTTTCTGTGTTCCAAAACTAAATTCTTAATTTGAAATTTATTTTACATATTGACAATATAAGCGCCAGTGCAGTGAGTGATTTAAAAGAAATAATCTTGAAATGCACCATAGGAACTAAAAATTTTATGGGTAAAATGGTGCCATGGGGTGACTTCTCTTCCACCCCAATGCCTTCTCTTCTCCCCTTCTCCTCCTCCCACCTCCACTTCAAATGCCATCATCATCTTCATCCAGGAGCCTTCTACATACACACCTCAAAGTAAGTGAACTTTCTACCATTTTGTTGGTTAAGCATTTTCAGTGAGCTGGAACCAGTACCCAAAAACCCATTGAAACAATGGTTTGGTTAACGAACTTTTCGGTTAACTTGAACAACCTGCTCGAACGGAATGAGTTGGGTTAACCGAGGACCACTGTACATATGATGAGCAGGTTAGGAGAATGTATGCCAGATTCAGGAGCAGAGGCAAATTCAGAGTGTAGAAGGGTTCAGAAACAGATTATGGCAGGGTAAGAGTGAAGCAAAAGGATTTTCCAGCACTACAGTCAAAATTAAAAACACGACTAGGCGTATCAGACCGAAGCTTAAGTGATAAGTTATACAGATTCAGCAGGACAGGCAAAGGCAGTGACAATTGCCTCCAGTATTCACAAGAGAGGATGCAAACAATCTTCTACAATCTTCTGCATTTGAGGTTATAAAATACTGCAAAGTTATCCAAAGCTAAGGTTCATATGAGTCCCAGCCCTGTCTTGGTGCATCCCAGAGTGTAAAGAATTTGCAATGAGCTTGCCCGAGCCATGAAAATCCTGTTCTGTAAATGCAAGGATGAA